TAGGACAACTTCCGTCGCAACCACGGTTGGAGCAGCCCCCGCAGCCGCTGTCACAAGATCTATCGTCACGACCCCCATCCCAGGAACACCTACCGCCTCAGCTACGGTCGGGAGTTCACGTAACTCGCTGGGATTCACAACCACCACAGCGCCAGCCGCAGCCGCAGTCGCAGCCGCAGACGCAGGCCCAAACACAGCCTCGTCCACATCCTTCGTTACGTGCAGGCCCTCCTCCCGCCTCGTTCCACATGCCGCAGAACACCGTGCCGACACTGGAAACCCGACCGCCCCGCTCCCCGCACTCTACCATCCAAAGATCCAATACCGATTCGGGCCTGCTCGACCACCTCGCCCGATCGTCTCCTATTGATCCACCCCGTATACACCACGGTGAATTGGCCCCGACGCAACCTCAGCTAGATCCAACGGTGGGAGCTCGCCCGCCGTCCAGACAGTCTGTCGGACCCCCGTCTCCGTTGCGTCAACAATTGGCCCCCGCACAGCCCGATTCCCCCGGCGGTATGACGGATCGTCCTTCAGGTGTGCTGCAGGTCAGCAGCAACAGCAACCAACCCGCCTCTGGCGCCAGCCACACCTTGCACGCATCGAACAACCAGTCAGATACTGGATATCGGACTAACGCCGCCCAACCCAGTGCCGACGCAGGACGCAGCACCCCAAGTGTGCGGGAGACCCGCGACGCACGCCGAGAAGCTCGCGATGAGTCAAGCGACATCGACGTGCGGGCTTTGGTGCAGAAACATGACGAACTGCGTACGCTTGTTATCATCATCCTTTCCACCGTTCCTTGATCTAACATTCCGTTTCAACAGAGGCCAAATACTCCAAAGTCAAACGGTACTACTTCGAAAAGGAAGCCCAAGTGCAGCACCTCCAGAACACGGTGGCGCACCAACGCATGGCGGTCTCGCGCACCGTGCTGGACGACAACGAGTACGCCAGCCGCTTCTCCCGCCTAGACGGGGCGATCAAGGACCTCGCGTTCTCCATCCGCAAGGACTGGGCGCGCCTGCCGCCGTGGCTGACCGGCTACGTCAGCGACGACGCGCACACCACCGGCACGAAAGAGATGACGGCCATCGGCCGCGCCGTGATGAGTCGGTGGCTCGTCGAGGAGGTCTTCGAGCGCTACTTCCACCCGGGCCTCGAGCCGGCCCTCTCGCGGGCCCTCAAGGACATCGAGATGAACCTCCGCCGCCAGCAGGTCCAGGTGACCGCGACGACGGACGAGGATCGCGAGAACGCCGTCGCGCGCATCAGCAACTGGCGTCGCACCACCCTCGACGGCCTCCCCGAGCTACAGGCCGGCGGCACCCAGGCCGCCGACTTCCGGGCGCAGCTTATCGACCGCCTCGTCGGGAGTTTAGTCGCGTCCCTCACGGCGTACATGCGCATCGAGACGGCTCCGGGCGGCGCGACATCTGTCGTGCCCCCGCCCCCGCCCCCGGGCTTGGAGACCGGCGCCCGCATGATCGTCGAGAACGCGATCGGCATCGCCGAGAAGATCCCCCTGGAGTCCCGGGACATCGTCGTCGAATATATCCTCCCTGGCGCTGTCCTCAACGAAAGCACCATGCGGGTGGAATCGGGCATTCCACCTCTACCACAGCAGCAGCAACGATCAACAGGCACCTCGTTGGAAATCGATCGTGCCGCAGCGGCAGCGGCGGCAGCGGTAGCAGCAGCCGCAGCAGCATCGGAGGGAACAGTGACCATCCCCGATGATATCGACATGGACAACGCTGGCGTCCTAGGCGCAGCAGGGATCGCTCCAGCTAATACTAATACTGGTGCTGGTGTACTAGCTCCCCCGACCGGCTCGACCGACCCATCTGCTCCCAGAGGCGGCAGTGGTACTGGCAGTGGCGCAGGCGGCGAGCGAGAATCCCGCAAACGGTCGATGTTCAGCTCGCTGATGGGTCGACGGACGGGTCCTGCTGCTGCCACCGCTGGTGCTGGTAATGCTGGAGCCGGAGCGGGTACAGCGGGCCCAGTCGCCGGAACAGCAGCTCCGGGTGTTGCGCTCCCGACGGGTCCTGGTTCCGTCTCCAACGTGACCATCCCTGGCACGATTGCTTCTGCTTCTGCTCCTTCCGCCGGCAGCGCAGCGACCGAGGACCGCGAGCGACTGGCGCGGATCCGGTTCTCCTCGTTCGTGCTGGCGGAGGTGCGTGGGCGGGGGCCGCAGAATGTGCTGGTCAAGGCGCCTGTATATATTGAATGAAGTAGACCCTGCGGGTCCCCTGCCTCGACTACACCTACACCTGCCCCAAACGCATGTCAGGGGAAGGGGGTTGCGGGGCTGGAGAGTGTCAGTCGGTTAGAGTAAGACGTCTACGGTATGTTATCGTGTAGAATGTACAGGTGTGAATGTGAATGTCAATGTCAATGTCAACGTCATACCAATGAGCCTTAGATGAACGCCATTGAAACAAAAGTAATTATTAGATAAAGTGTCTATAATTTCCTGACTTCTAAAGTTCGATGTTTATGTAAAAATTCGAGGCAAGCTTTGATGCCGAAAGGGCGATGATGCTCAGCATTCATTGAAGGATTCGTCGTGTTGTGTCCTGCACAATCGTTGAGTGACCGGTCATATCGAATGACCTTACCCCCTACCTCCTTCTTTCTTCTGAGCCCCCCCTTTTCCTTATTCACAATTCCCCGAATGGGCGAGAGACTCCTTCCAGATGGCATACCCCACCATCTCCAGCAGATACCGCTCGCGGTAGGCGAAGCACCGGGTCACGTTCCCGACGAGAAACGCCGTCATCTTGCGGACGAGGAGGGTCGGGTCCTTGCAGCGCGTCAGCAGGTCCTCCGGGTGGTGGAGCGTTACCTCTGCTGCTGCTGGTGCTGCTGCTGGAGCCGCTCTCTCCGCTCCTGTAGAGGTGGGCACAGGAGATATAGCATCGGTGCTTGCATCTCTCCCCAAGCCGAGGATGGCGTCTAGTTCTTCCTCTGTAGTTCTGGAAGTGGGTGATGGGTGTCGGCGGAAACGGAAACGGAAACGGAGGATATCCCACATCCTTTTGAGCAGGGATGGGCTCTGGCTCTGGCTTTCGATGAGCCAGACGCAGAAACTCTCCCAGAGGTTGTGGTGGGTGATGAAGGCGAGGAGGGTGGTGGGCGTGAGGGTGGTGATGGGGAGTTGGAGGGTTCGGAGGATCTTGGTTTCGGTTTCGGTTTCGGTTTCTCGGTGGCTGCTGGCATCATGGTCATTGTTTGTGTGTAGAAGGGCACGGTGCATTTCGCTGACATAGGCGAGCTCGGTGAGGAGGATGGAGAGGGCGTCTTCGTGGGGGGGGTCCCGGTCGATGTCTTCCTTGTGGTGGGCGAGGGCAGCGGGTGAGGGGGGAGGTGGAGGTGAGGGGTGATCGTGATCTGGATCTGTGGCAGAGTCGTCTTCTGGGATGGTGGTGTGGACGACGGGGTTTTCAGCAGCAGCAGCAGCAGCAGCAGCAGCAGCAGTGGTGGCCGTGGCAGCGGTGCACAACTCCGCGTCGAGTCCGGTGGAGGAGAACGTCCCCAGCGATCGGTCGTAGCCCAGTCTCGCGCGCCAGAACACGTTCAGGAGGATCAGGCTCACGATGCACGGCACCAGGACCACGTACCCGTACCACATGGTCGCCGTGACCATGCTCGCGGCCCCGGCCACCACGCCGTTGACCCCGTTGACGACGGCATGGAATTGCAGGGCCCGCATGCGCGCCCGGAGTTTGGTCTTCAGCGAGGCCGGAAGCTCGTGGTTTTGGTCACGGGGGATTTTCCCCCCCTCCTCCTGCTCCGCCACCGCGCACGCCCTCCAGCACCGCTGGAACCGCCACACCAGATATGCGGACCAAATCGCATTGACGAGCCCGAAGCCCGCCGCCAGTCCATTGCCCACGTACCCGGACAGCAGATTACTGGCCCGGTAGATGGTCGGATCAGCGCCCCAGATCGCGAGCAGGGTGCCGATGCCCACGAGCAGGGCACCAACGCCCATGAGCAGATCCATGAGGATGCGATCGATGACTTCGGTGAGCACCTCGCGGGTATTGACGCCGTGCTTGTACTCGTTGAGCCTGTCGATGGTGGATCTCTCGCTGGATGGATGGGGCATCGGTCTGTGGGAGCCGTCATCGGTGTGGTCGGCTGATGATGCACTGGCGGAGATGCTGTCGGCGAGGAAAGTTCTCTCTTGACGCAGCAACCGCACGTTGGCGGCGCTGAGGTACATGTCTCGGGCGGCGACCAGGGTCATGCACAGCGCGCAGGGCCCGCCAATCGCCATCAGGATCTTGGCGTGCAGGGGCACCGGGATCTCGTTCCACACATTGGCCGCAAAGTCGGCCGCATTGGCTAGTTCTAGGTATCCGACGCCGGCGAGGAGAGAATTGCGGAACAGAGGTTGGTGCAGGATGCGGTATTTGTGTTTGTTGGCAGCAGGCAGGCGGGTGCGGGTGCGGGTACGGGTGAAGGTCACCGCGTTGGGGGTGTAGGAGAACGAGCGGGTGCTGGAGCTGGTGAAGGTGGAGGTAAAGGTGAGGTCGGTGGATTCACGGAGGAGTTTGGGGGTAGGAAGGCCAGGGTCGGGGAGGGCCATCGTGTGTGTGCCACATAGATGGAGAAATGACACGAGACGGGCACACACAGGTTGAAAGAACGAGGAGAGGGAGAGGAGAGAGAGAAAGAGAGAGGAAAGGGAGGAAGGGGAAGAGGGAGAAGAGAAGTGGAAACTGGAAGAGCAGGAAACGTGGAGAGAACAGGGCAGAACGACCGGATTGGGGGGTTTACAGTAGAAGAGTGGGGCCCTCGCCCTGTAGGGCTGAGCCGATGATCCGTGCCTATTTTCGGGTTTTCTCTCCTTTTCCTTGCAGCACCAAGTCGACTAGTACACAGTAGTCCTTAGTCCTTCTAACTATCTTACATATACGCACATCTTCTCACTAACTAACCAACCTACCACCGAAATTGCCAGCTCATTCCCGCACAGGCCGCACCATCGACGCCTGAACATGTCCCTCCACAACCTCGTATTCCTTCACCACTTGGAATCCATACTTCTCATACAACCGTCGGCCCTGGGGGGTCGAGGCCAAAAAGGTATCCACCCCAGCTTCATCCGCCCGGTGCAGCCCCCATCGCAAGAGCTGCGACCCCAGTCCTCGTCCATTGTAGTTGGGGTGGGTTGCGAGCATGTCGAGATCTATTTTAATCATAGACTGTGAGTTTGTGCTTGCTCACTGAATGGGCCCGCCAGCCAGGAGGTAGCCGAGGAGAAAACTCACAGTAATACTTCTTGGCCCCCATAACCTCCCACTTCTCCTGGTCCATCTTCCCGAAGAATTCCTCACACAGTTTCTGATCAGAGCTTGGGGGCCAATTCCGCGCGAGACTCTGCTCGTCCAGCTGTGGGGGCTCGGGTTGCCGTTGCTCGCCAGAATACAACTTCCACTTGGCGAAGGCTGCAATCACCGGGTCCTTCTGGCTCTCGTCCACGATTTTGAGGATTGTGCTACCGGATGTGGGCTTGCCGGTCTCCTCCAGGTCGCTGGTGAATTTCTCGAACCACCAGGTGCGCACATCGTCGGTCAGGGGGAACAAGCGACGGTTGAAGGCATCGGAGAAGGAATGGAGGAATACGTCGGTGAGCTGGGAAGCATCTGAAGAGGTGGCATGGTGGAGATTTAAGCTGGCATTGCTAGGTTTGGTGGTGGTGGTAGTGGTGGTGGTGGTGGTGCTGCTGCTGCTGCTGCTGCTGCTGCTGCTACTGTTGGCGCGGGTAAGGATGAGGGCCGGTCGGAGAAGGCGGTAGGGCTGGCGAACGGAGGAGCTGATCGCGGCGGAAAGAGGCGTGGGCGTCATCATCGTTGTTGCTGCAGGATCTGACCGATAAAGCTTGTCGGGAAATTGCTGTTGCGACTGATATTCATCCAGGTAACTGATCCCTGCAAATTTTATTGCATGATGGGGAGTTCCTGTTAGTCATTGACATCATTGAGCTCGGATTGCTTCCGATGTTCCGAAGTTGAGATGAAGTAATGAAGAGAGGAAAAGGAGGAAACGAGAAGCAAAAAGACCAAGCGATCCTCCCGACAGTCAAGAAAGCTTGGCTGTTGACTCAACCATCGACACAAAACCGACACAACACAACACAACCAACCAACATAACTCAACGCCCACCACCACAATACTAATCAACGTCAAGCTTCTTGTGTGACTGCACCCGTCCCTGGCTACTGACTGAGCTAGACCAGGCTGCAATTTTCTTCTTCCTGCGCGGATTCGCGGAAGAAATGCGTCACGGCCCCCGCGGCCCCCGACGCTGCTGAAGTGACGGCCAACTTCCGTGACCCGTGAATGCACTGTAGGGCTGACGAGAGCCAAAGACCCTTTCTTCTGCTTTTCTGCAGGGCCCACACGCATACTTTTGACTGTCCAACAAGGACCATACACCGTAGGCAGCCGTGTTTTGGTCTCTCCGATCCTGACACGCACTACCCAATCGGGGTACGAATACGGTATAACCCCATCGGGCGAAGCCTCAGTCAATGGATTCGTTGTACATACAGCTGTGGACTGCAGACGAGGGATTGTCTTCACGCCACCCCCAAATAGATCAGACGAGGCCAGGACGGTGGACAGGAATAGCATGTAGAATGACATCGTCCGTCCGACCCCTCAGTCAACAACGTTTCCAGGGCCAGCCAATTGTTCCGTCATCATTATCCATGGATGGCTGCAGCGGCGGCCATCTCAGGCGCCAGACCCTAAGCTCGAGTCCCGACCCACTGGCCAGGGTTCACGGCCCTCGTTATTGATTCCGATGTGTAGGGTGGTCTGTTTTTGGCTAAATTGCCGCCCAAAGCCGATGCACATAAACCAGGTTAGGAATGAGGCAGTACTTGGGGGGGCTGAGAGGGCTTTGCTGGAGCCTGGCGCCATGCTCATTCTCTGTTCCTTTTCTGCTCCTTTTCTTCCTCGTCTCGCCCCATGGTTAGACCATTTCGATCACATTCAGGGCAGTTGACTTTCTGTACAGATCGGTGCTGAACGACAGTGTCGCCATGTCTTCACCCACCTCGACCGAATCCCCCAAGCAGAGCAAAAGAGCGAAGAAGCAACAGAAGAAGCAGCATGGGACAGATACGATTCTGCCGAAGAAACCAGCCAAGGTTCTGTTGGCAGATACCATCGGACAAGCATTGCACGAGCGTCTCCTCTCGTTTGGTGACCGTTACCACCAGTACCAGCACCAGCATCCCCATCCCCCGTTAGGGCAACATCATCACAATGGCTGGCAACCCGTCGACCAGCAACCCCTCTCCACCTCCCCCTACCTCACCGTCCCTCGAATCCCCCGCTCAAGCGCGAGCAGCAGCAACATCTCGCGCAAATCCTCCTCCATGACGCTATCCTCCTACGACGACCGCAGCGTGGCCTCCAGCCGCACCAGCCACGACTCCAGCCCCAGCCCCGGCATCAGCAAACCCTCCTCATCTTACTGTAATGAACAGTCCCAGCCCAACCGCATCATCACTCTCAACCCGCCATGCAGCATGGCAACAATTGAGCATCTGATCTCGCGGCACGGCCAAGTCTCGCACATGGGCGTGCTGGACCCAAGCTACAGCCTGTTCGTCAACACCACGCGCACAGCCCTGCTCTGTTTCAAGGTATGCAACAAAGTCGCCATAGTCTCAGGGGACCCGATGTGCGCAGTTGAGGAGTATGGCTCCGTGCTCTCGGAGTTCCAAACCTGGCGCCAACGCCAGCGTCTAGGCATCGCCTTCTTAGGGACAAGCGAGCGCATGATCCATTACGCTCAGCACCCGCACCAGCACCCGCACCCGCAGAACGAGAACGAGACCAAGAAGAGCTGGATGATCCTGGAATTCGGCCGCGAACGCGTCCTCAACCCGCTCACGAACCCAGTCCTCCACGAACAAGAAGGCAAACGCATCGTCCTCCAGAACAAACAACTCCTCCACCCCGAGAAAGGGGGCATAACCCTCAACCTCTACATCGCCCCTACCCCCTCATCAGCAACAACAACAACAACAACAACAGAAGACCAAACCCTCCAATCTCAACTCACAGAGATCTACAGAACCTGGCGCCACCACCGCAACAACTCCACGGGCACACAAACCCAAGCCTTCATCACCACCCCAACCCCCTTCACCACCCCCGAATCCCAACCCCACCCCCAGATCATCTACATCTACACCACCACCACCACCACCACCACGGCCCCCGGCACAGGCACCCCCAACGCCCTCGCCGCCCTCCGCTACCTCGGCACCCACCACGGCTACCACCTGGACCCCTGCATCGCCGCCCCCGGCAGCCCCAGGGGCCTCTCGGATCTGCTCGTTTTCGCGGCGATGGCCCTCCTCCGCCGGCTGGCGTGCAACTACCTCAGTCTCGGGGTCGAGCCGTACGCGCAGCTCGGCCGGGTCGAGGGGTTCGCGTCCCCGCTGGTGGAAAAGTTGACGCGGCGCGCGTATCGGTACGCGTTTGCCCGGCTGCCGATCCAGGGGAAGAGGGCATATTTTGATAAGTTCCGGCCGGATCCGACGCTGGAGAGGGGGTTGTTTTTGGTGTTTGTCGGGGAGAGTTCTGGGCATTGGTTGGGGGGGAGGGTGAGAGGGGGGGAAGGGAAGGGGCATGGGAAAGGGAAAGGGAAAGGGAAAGGGAAAGGGAAAGGTGTAGGGGGCGCGCCCGCGGTGAGGCAGGTGGTTGGGGTGGCGCATTTGGCGAATATCCGAATTAGGAGGGTGGTTTGGGGGTGACGTTTATATGGGGGTGGTGAGGGTGGTGGGTGGTTGTTAGCCGGGAGGTGCAGGGTAGTGTATGGGTTTATATAGTTATCGTCATTCTCGTTACCTATTGCACAATGATGCGTTGGGATTATCTTCTGTATATAAATTCGAGTTCTAATGTGTCTGTTGGTATCCATAGTATGGTTTTACATAGCAATCTCAACTACATATCACGCTTAATTATTTCACCATGCATAGTATAGTAGGTAGTGAGTGCTGTGGGCCTTCGGAGTATCATCTCATGCTCGGATCGATCGTGTTACTAGGTACAGTAATTTTTGGGTCATTTACGCTTATCTCGTCGCTTATTCCAGATAAGACAATATGGCCGAGCGGTCTAAGGCGATAGACTAGAAATCTATTCTCTTCGGAGGCGTCGGTTCAAATCCGACTGTTGTCGTTTTTTGCTTACCACTTCTCTCTCTCCCAGTGAAGGCATTCTTTTTGTCAGGATGAGGATTATCCATTCACTATTGTTAAGGGGGGGGGGGTTTTCTCCCCGTGCCCCCGTGTCTTCGCAAATGCCCTGGGAGGGCGCGGTAATAGCGCGGTATAAAGCTGGCATGCGTAACTCTATGTTTCAAGGGTCCGAGTCAATTCGTGCTATATTTTTGTATAGGTTATGTGATCTCTCGAGAATACTACTGACGTGAGTACAAGGACATACTCCTGCCGAAGAAAAGATATCTCATATTCAGTCTTATTCACAGAAAATAAAGCAAGAAACGAACCAACTTTGTACACATGCACTCCGTCCAATGTACACCCGTCGGGCCAGCTAGCCAGCTACCTGACCATCCAAAGCATCACATCACAAACACCCCAAAAAATCATCAACACTAACGACTAGATAATATGCTAACAAACTCATCAAATGCTATGGCAGATGTAATCATGTTAAGGTCGGGTATAGCGCCTCGCTCAACGCAGAGAAATCAGAAGCAGGCACTTTTGGACACATCCAGAGAATAGAAAAGCTTATGACGGGTCAGCTACACCCTTCCGATAGCGTTCGCCGCCTGCTGCAGCACCCGCGGCCACCGCGAAATCAACTCCACATCGTCCAACGCCCCCTTGCCCTGGTTGCGCACGTACTGCGTGCTGGGGTCTATGCGGGGCTCGTAGTCCCAGATCGATGGCACGCCCTTGATCAAGGCGGAGTAGACCAGTCGGCGGCGGCGCTGGGAGCGGAGAACGTCCTCGCGGATCTGCTCCAGGTTCCAGCGAGTGTGCACTTCCTCGACAAAGTGTGCTAGGAGTGTGGCCGGGTCGCTGGTTTGAGGCAACACCGAGGAGTGCTTGGAGGGGCTTGGGGTGCGTGGTGGGGTCGGGAAGGGGAAGGACGAGGTGCCGTCAGGGCCACGCGAGACGCGCGGGAAGTCATTCGGGGTGGGCAAGCCTGTCCCCTTGCCGTTGACAGCGACGAGCTTGGATGGATCAGGCAGGCCTGCGACCAGGTTGACGCGCTCCTCCGGGTCGGCAACCACGTCGAACAGCATCGGGGGGTCGATCAGTGAGTAGACGAACTTCCACTGTCCGCGGCGAATCATGACGGTCGGCGACTGAGTGCCCTCGGCCATGTACTCGCCCAGCACGGTATCGGTCTTGACGCCGTCCCCGCCCGTCAAATATGGCAGCAGCGAGACGCCGTCCAACGGCAGCCCAGGAACCAAGGGCGCGCCCACCAAGTCCGCAAATGTCGGCAGCAGATCCATCGTCGACACGTTCTCCGACACCCGCTTAGCCGCGAAGCGCTTCGGCGCATGCATGATCATAGGCACACGTGCCGACCCCTCGTACCACGTCATCTTGTACCACAAGCCACGCTCGCCCAACATATCGCCGTGATCGCCCGTAAACACCACAATGGTATCGTCGCGCAAACCGCAGTTATCGAGCACCTTCAAGAGCTTGCCCACATTGGTGTCCACATAGGTGCAGGCGGCATAGTAAGCGCGGCGCGCGGCCTTGATGCGCTCCTCCGGCATTTCCTTGCCCCACAGGTCGATGCACTTGAGCACCCGCTGGGAGTGTGGGTCCTGCTGATCCTGGGGAATCGCGCCGTGCTTGGGCAAGGGGATGTCGACATCCTCATACAGATCCCAGTATTCCTTAGTCATGGCATAGGGGTCATGCGGGTGGGTCATCGACACGGTCAAACAGAAAGGCTGGTCGCCGCGCTGGCGCACATGATCGTAGAGGTACTGGGTCGACTTGTACATCACCTCCTCGTCGAAGTCGAGCTGGTTTGTGCGAACGACGGGGCCAGCCTCCATGACAGACGACATGTTGTGGTACCAATCGGGACGGATATCCTATTTGGGTCAATATTTCCTCGCTCTCGGACCACAATTCCAGAAAGACTTACGGGTTCGTCCCAGTTGACGGACCAGCCATAATCGCCAGGGTAGATGTCGCTAGTCAATCGCTGTTCGTATCCGTGCAGCTGATCGGGGCCACAGAAGTGCATCTTACCCGCCAATGCAGTGTGATAGCCCTCGCGGCGGAGGTAGTGGGCGTAGGTTGGGACATCGGCGGGCAGGTCGGAGGCGTTGTCGTACGCACCAATTTTAGAGGGGAGTTGGCCGGTCACCATGACGAAACGGGAGGGGGCGCACAGCGGCGCATTGCAGTAGGCGGAATCAAACACCACTCCTTCTTCGGCCAGCTTGTTCAGATGGGGGGTTTTGATAGGGGAGTCCTTATCATGGAAGGCCAGAAGCGGGGCGGCCATCTGGTCGGCCATGATGTACAGGATGTTGGGCCTTTTGGCAGCCATGGCGATAAGCGACTCTCTCTGTGGACGGCGGATTGTAGACTTGTCTAGACTAGAATGGCCTGTAGATAGCTGCTGTAGAAGGGACAGCCGTACTCAACAAGTCTGTCTTGAGTGATAGGGACCAGAAAAGTGACGAGGCAAGAAGGGGTGGGAGGGGATGAAGTTTAAAAAAGGAGGAAGAGACCGGATTATAAGTAAGTTAACAGTGACCGGACAGTGACTGACTTCAAGTGGAGACTGACCACTGCAGCAATGAACGAGTCCCAATGCCTGTTTCAGGAGGTGAAGGGAGAATGCCAGGTGGGAGTTGAACAGGAGGAAAAAAAAAAGCAGAAGAAAAAGAAAGGTTTAAAAAAAAGAGGCGGCAGAATCAGGCTTAGTAGCCGATCTCTCTTCTCCTTCTGGCTCGTCACTCGGCCTCGCTCGTCAATTCCCCATGTCACTATAACAATGGAACCATCGGCGGGGACGATGGTGTGATTGCGGGAGGATCCATGGATAGCCGCCAAGGGGGCAGCAGCACACCAGACAGAGTACTCCGTATTATTGCTGATCATTCAGGCGGGTGCAGTGAATAGGAAACTCAATGGTGATGAGGTGGTGAAGCAGGAGAATCTTGCAGATGAAGCGGATCGACTCCTGCATGCGGGCTGGTCTATCATTGACTAAGGTATCAACCGGGATCAACGGTCACGGTTGTGATGGCCAGTCCCCCGATAAACGCCATTCCTTAATGATTTGCCACACGAGGCCCTCAATCTCCGGTGGTGGCGGTGCTCACGTGCTGGCCAGATTTGCATCTCTTTGACCTGACTCAATCTTTGTTCCATTACTCATTACCACACAAACACTTGTAGAAGGAGCCAATTGATTGACTGATTTTGTCTTTGATAAGGAAATTGACATTACCCCGGGGGGATCGATTGTTGCTCACCGCCCATCGCTTAGTGGGATTTTCTACAATTTAGGATTCGCCGGACTCGCACCGGGCCCGATCTTGGCCCACTTGGCGGTTTTTTTATTGATGATTCATTGGTGTGTGATTCCATCCCCGGATCCGCTGTGGTCACGAGGTGCCGACTAAGCCGGGGTTGTCGGCAATCACGGTGGTTGTCTGTGTTGTCTCAACTATTGTCTTACCCAGGATTGATTGTTGAGGGTGACGATGATCTGTCAGATAGCATCAAAAGGGGGTTTACGCGTCTACTTCAAATGACACAGAGGATATTCTAGATCAGCTGAAGATATTCATATTGAGTAGCAGGATCCGGTTGCCAGCCGTCGGAGATAACCTGAGACAAGTACGTAGTGCTAATCAAGCACCCCCTATCCGTACTGTCCAGAAACTGGCAGACTGGGCTTATCAGAAACGCAGGACACGACGCAGCAATCGCCTTCCAATCTTGCTTCCAGTGACACAGTCGTCGTCACACAGGGGCTCTTTGCATTTCTAATCGCGATATGACGCGCCACTGCTCAACCCCAATAATCTGAGTTGTCGGGCGGAATTCCAACAATAGATCAATTATCAAGACTTTACTCTGATTTCAAAGCAGAACCCCCAACCTCCCCCTAATTACTTACTACCACGTATATGTACGTCTCAATTGACATTCCCGCAGCCAGCAACCAGATCTCCGCCAACCCACGGATTCAACCCTCGATCAAACCAAGATAGAGCGATCGAAACCCAAACCCACGCACGCAGACTGACGTACGTATGGCATCAGAGCTATCAGCTATCCACCCTCAGCTTCCAGATTTACCTTTGACTTTGAGAATAGGTACCTACTGTACTCTCCCCCACAACGAATCACACAGCCAGAATCTGATGTACTGTCGGAGTTAAGCGCATTTGCCAACCCTGCGGCTCGATGGCATCATCCGCAACCTATCAGCGCCCTCTCTTGCCGCGGCATTCGTCGTAAGCCTGCGTGGAGCTGGGTTCGAGCCTACCCCGGACGATCCCCTGAAGATCCTTTTTGTTCTTGGCTTGGGTTCTGGAAGGGGTTTAGAAGCCGCGTCCTACGTACGAGTAGCTTGGAGCCGCAGCATGGCTTGTTCTGTTGTGGGCGTGGCGTGGCGTGTCTGGTCGTCTTGTCTGACAGCTCTCGGCGGGGATGACTTCGGCTGAAATGTCCGCGTGTCCGATGTTTCGAGAGTGCAGGGTTCATCGTAGGGATCAGACGAGGTTGGAAACCCGGGTCACCGCAGCTCAGGTGTGTTTCTTCTCTAGTGGTGGGCGCTGGAGCGTGAGTGTGATGGAGGCTCCAACGTCATCGGATGGCAACCTGCGAGCACGCCATCGCCGGGTTAGTCATCAACGGTCGATTGCGGTAGGTGGCATTTCTGGTGGCATTTTCGGGGATGTGAGTTGTTGTTTCAGTCTCGGACATACCTACGTACAAAGTATTGGGTGGTTCTTGGGTTGTTTGAAGATCTGCGCTGTCGCTGGGCGGATTGCCTCCGCATAGCTGGTAGGAGTTAGTATGGAACAAGATATCCGCATCAGATGGTTGAGCCACGACCCAATCGCCTCCAATATAATTATGCTAATCTAGCTTTAGAAGGGTCTACATACACCTGATTCTTATTCATTTTCAAGCTATCCAGAAAACAAGCCTACCCCTCAAAATCGTACCCCAGTCACCTTCCCCTCCTTCCACTTTACACATTCCATAATATCAAAAGACCCAACCAACCTGCCAGATCCATTTAGCCCTCAACCATAGTATCATACACCAATTCAGCTCATAACCCATCAACCACACTACAACCATACCGGATCCATAGAAAGAACTCCTCAATCCACGACCCAACCCCTACCCCAAGAACAAAACACTCGGGCACCTACCAGCCCTACCCACCCAAACCAACCATTAGCACAACCATAACCCCCACCCCGCATAAACAACTACAACAACAACAAAATGGTAACCATCCCCCACAAAAGCAACAAAAGGCAATCCCCCCCTAGGCCCCCATCTTCTCCCCCTCCCGCATCCCCTCCCCCCCAGCTACACACTCCACCACCGTCACCGCCTCACTCAAAACCGACCCAGCATCATCATCTCCCTGATTAGATCCCTTGCCATCCAAACCACCAACACCGACAGCAGCAGCAGCAGCCGCCTTCGTGGCCCGCCGATCCCGGACCCTCTGCACCTGCCGACTGACAAACCGCCACGCCTCGGCCGCGAGCTCGAGATCCGTTTTGGGGCGACGGGGGATGGCGCTGCCTGGTTCTGATGTGGCCGGGGGCCGGGGGAGGGAGGTGGAGGATGTCATTTTTTTTCTCGGTATTTCCCCGGGGGTTTGGTGATGGTTTTGGGGATGGATGGAAGGATAGATGGTGGCGGTGAGGTACTTGATTGAGGTATGATCCCCAACTCGAGTAATCTTTGTCAGGGTGATCTAAACGAATTGTATGGTTTGTTATTCTGGAAGTCGGAGGGCGCTTTCCTTCGGGTCTGGATATTTTGGACACGGTCCCAGCTGGAGATGGGCGTTCTTGAGGGAGCAGTAGTAGTAGATGCCAAGCAGTGAATGATGGCCAGGGCTTGAGCAATTGATGAGCCAGACCCAGAAATTCTTGATGTCTTATATAGTCTATCTACATACAGTATACAATGCGAGCAAACAGACCAAACCTAGTAGACTTCAGTCCAAGTCTAAGTCTGAGTCGGAGTTTGAGTGAGTCACGACGCTTAGGAATCAACCGGTGCCTAAGCACCTGGCAATACAAGAAGAGGTTATAATCAGATGAATCCCGGAAGCTTGAAGCCGTGGCGGGTTCCGGATTGGGGCAAGGAAGCGGTGGGTGCGCTACTGCACGGCACGGTGGGCTGGATACGTGGTGAGGCTGCCTGGACGCGGGTGACAGGTATTCTGCATCTGCAGTAACATCTAGCGGCGCTCGAGCCTAGAGCTGTTTTAGCCAGTCTTGTTCTTCCCTTGATGTGATTCGTCTGTGGACTTGGGGGTAATTCGTACATACGGGAGGAGTCCATGTGATGAGGTCGTGCTTCAGTGGTTGTATGATTCTAAGGAGAGACTTGTTCTCAATATGACCTTTATGGTGCGGCATCGAAGCATGGCCTATTGCTTCTAGAACCACGTCAAAAATACGCCGCTCGCAGACCTGGATTCACAAAATGAAATAAATTCGCTAAAGGCAGAGTATATATATCTAAGTTGACACGTAAATGGCCACAAGCCATGCAATGAACACTGTCAACTGACAGACTGCACTCGCCCCTTCAAGGTTAGAGGCACGAGTACATTCATCATGAAAAAAGTTCAGCGGAGACTGAAAATTGCAAGCCCCGACCAAACTCCCCGGATATCCGTCTCGAATGGAAGTAACCACTTAATCGACTTTGATTGCACTGTTGCTGGTCAGATCACACCAAAAAAAAAAAAAAAAAAACACAAAGCAGATCACTCACCTGTAGATACGTCGGATAAATGCGTACGCCGTCAGGAACCCAACAGTCCCAGTCAACAGACCGTACACGGTACAGGCAAGGAAGCTATAGCTGAAGAAAAGAAGACTAGACACGAAGCCGGTGATGTGAAGGTGGAAGTAATAGTACCAGATGCAATACCCGAACACCCAGAAGGCACTGCTTCCACCGGTAAGGAAGCTCTGCCACCACCAGTGGTAGTTCTACTCCCGTTAGCGACAGCCCGTCTCACCTCCCCAAACGAACAACTTACTTCGGCACAAAGCTGACTATAGGTGGCAATGATCGTCACCTCGCTGATCGTGACCATCAGGATCGTCGACACGGCACTGAGGAATCCAAACACATAGTAGTATCCGCTCTTGTCTTGCCACAAGCTCCGGAACACAAAGAGAAGCTCAATGAACAGCACAGCAAACGGACCCAGTCCAGTCAAAAGAGTACCGCTGATGCTGTGCAGATACCAAGGCTGAGGCGGAATTTGGCGAGCGATGGAGGTGGTTTTGGTAGGATGCTCCCAAGCCGTGGTGCGGACATAGCCATACCAACTGCCAACATAGACCAACGGGACCTGGATCAAGAGCCAAAGAGCAAGAAGACCGACTAGAGTGCCGAACGGAATCGCGGTACTCGAGGCCTGGGCCCAGACGAACAGATTGAGGATGAAAATCAGGCAGAAGACCAAACCAGGGAAGAACAGGGCGGTCTGGAGGTATTAGTAGCAGCACAGTCATTGAGAAGCAGAACACTCACAATCAGCGTATTCTTCCGCCAATGAACACCCCCAAATGTCTTGTAGAGTCTGCCCGAGAAGTAGCCCGAGAACAAACCAGCAAAGACAAACAAGCCCATACCAACACTGACAAATCCGCCACGGAAGCTAGGATTCAGCACACCCAGGCAGCTGAGGAACAAGAGTCCCGAAACCATGAACAACAACTGCATGCCGGAGCCGATAAGGGGCGCCAGAAGTCCACTGAATTGAGGCGTCCGGAATACGTCGCCATGAAGCAGTTTCCATCCGCTGACGTCTTCCAGACCTTCATCGTCAGATCCATCCGCATCCCGCTCGACATCTGTGCTCTGCTCCAGAAGCCCGTCACCTTTCCTCTCCGAAGCTCTGGACTTCACCTTGAGCTTTCCATCCTCCAAAGCTCCATCTCCGCGACCCTTGATGTCGCCCTGCACAGTCCGACTCCAGATGACATAGACTGCCACTCCGAGGACACCGGAGATAGTCAGAGAGTTGAGAATAGCGAGCCAGTGGGTTGCAGAGCCCTCCTCTTGGTTGGTGAAGTAAAGGTCCCACCGGTTCCACCAGTCAACCCCATTCTCCTCCTTGAAGTAGACGGAGTAGGTGTATGGAATCTTGAGGGTGGCGCCGTCATCGATCTCGTCATCGTCCTCGGGGATATATGACGATCCCGGGTACATTTCGCGCAGTTTCGAAGTATTCGGCGGGATGTACAGCTCAAGTCCATCGTGCGCCTCGTGAACCTGCTTCGGGCAACCATTCTGCGTGTGATCTTCCGCGCGGATACTCTTCGGGTGGATCTCGAAGCCGACAATGACCTTGCCGCCTTCCGGAGCCGACCGCCAGCGGATGACAATAGTGAAATGATTGTTGATGTAATACCGCAGCTTGCCGTCGATGTTCGAGTACTCCTGGAAACCGAGCTTGAAGCCGGTAGCATAATACTTGCGACTTCCGTCCACAGTCACAAAGCTGGTTGCGCCAGGGAGGTTATCCGCGATCCACTCGGCCACGTATCCCTCCTTGATGAGTTGACGAGTCCATTTGATATCCTTGCGCCCGATCTCCTGTTCGCAGAGCACCCGACAATCGACGTTCTGGCCCATCTGCAATTCAAAATCAGATGTCATGATACGGTCGCCGCGAAGGATTTCTCCCAGGTTGAGAGACACGCTTTGTCCCGAGCCAAACGGGGATCCGCCGTGGGTGCGGCCGCTGGGAGGGCAGACAAAAGGCAAGTCGAAGTATGCATACTGAAGCTGAGTGTTATCGGAAAAAATTTTATTAACGAGGAGAGGGATGTGTTCGTCGTCGTTGTAGCGTTTGACAGAATATCCTAATAAAACACCAATGGGTCAGCGATAGGGTGGATGGTTGTCGCAACACCAGCGATGCCGACCTACCAGGGATGTAGAATGCGTAGGTACACGAAGCGAACAACAGCCACAAGGCCCATTGACGAGGGCGCCAGAACTGTCGAAGCTCCATGATTCGATTAGGAAGAGAAGGGTACCAGCCACTCTACCAGAGATTGAGGCACGACAGCGCAAGCATGCACCAGCAGTTTGCGAACGATTGATAAGTCGTACGTGGCGGATACGAGATCGAGGGGGTGCAAGTAAGTAGATCAGCGTTCTGTCAACTGACCGCCCGATCTTTATCGGCCAGAAGTCAATTCGAGCGATAAAACAATTAGAAAATCGAGATAGAAGGGAAAGAATATTTAAAAGATAAACATAATCGAGTAAGGAAAGGAAGACAGCCAGGTGTGGATGTATGTAGTCAAACCACGATTTAAGAGAGGGAAGAGGGGGGAACGGGGAACAGCCCGACGGTCGACGAACGGAGATCCAGCGGTTCAGATTGCGACGGGAGATGCGAAACCTGGGGTTGACAATTCAATGCAGCCAAGAAGGGAACGAATGGAATCGGCATCAAATGCCAGAGAGAGAAAAAAATGGTTGCAAAGTGAGACAAGAAACCAGAAGAGTCAGTGTGGTTGGTGCAGTTGCAGTTGGGGGGAGTCTTGGACAGGTTCCAAGGTGCAGGAAAAAGGAATTAAGGTCGGGGAGCGGGAAGAAGAGTTGAAGGTCGATCGATCAACTTCCAGTGAAGCTTGTGTTTCACTTTCAGCTTCGGGTTTAGTCGCTTGCCATTTCCGGAGAAACATTCAACCATCGACTCCTACAACTCCTACAACTCCTACATTGCTCTTGTTCTTGTTACATGCAAACGACCACTTCAGGTTAGTGCTGAGTCTGTTGGATTTTCCCTAATCCTCAAATGCATATCCATAGCTGTTCACGCATCATCGATAATACCCCCACAAGCCCAATTCTCCAATCTACCTAGTCGACAAGCTTGATGCACACCTTGCCAATGTGCGACCCAGATGCCATGTACTCGTACGCCTTAACCACCTCTTCCTGAGTGAACCGAAACTCCTTTTCCACCGGCAGACGAAGTCCCTTCTGGGCCACAAACCGCACGACCTCCTCCAGAAGCTGAGTCGAGCCAACCGTGATGCCGCGCACGACCGCCCCCTTCGCCAGCGCCAGGCTCGCAACATCCGGCATCTCCGACTGCTTGGCCTGCGACAGGAAGCCGATAACCGAGATATTTCCGCCCATCTTCACGGCGTTCAAGCTCTGCGCGATGGTACCGGAGCCGCCGTTCTCCAGGATGTAGTCCACTCCCTTCCCGTTGGTGAGCCGCAGCACCTCCTGGAACCACTCGGGATGCGTCTTGTAGTTGATGCCGTGGTCGGCGCCGAACTTGGACTTGACCATCTCGAGCTTCTCGTCACTGGACGAGGTAATGATCGTTGTCGCGCCAGCGGCTTTGGCTAGAATCACACCGGTGATGGAGACACCCCCCGTACCTATGTAGTGCAGCCCAGCCCAGCCCAACCGGTTAGTATCACAATCTCATAAACCGACAGTACAAGAAAGTGGATTCAAAACATACCCTGACACAGAACCGTCTGACCCGGCCGGAGCGGCAGATTGCCATAGAGCGCATTCCACACCGTCACCCCGGTACACACCAGGGTCGACCACTCCGAGAGGCTCTGGGGCGCGTCTTTGGGGAGCTTGACCACCGCCGCAGCGGGAACGGTGATGTACTCGCGCAGCACGCCGTCGATCGGCCCCCCCTGCCCGTTCTCCCAGTTCTCCTGCTGTCCGTACAGATTGGTCGGGTCGAAGGTGGCGACGACCCGATCCTCCGGCGCGAACTTCTTGACTCCTTCGCCCACTTGGACGACCGTCCCCGCGGCGTCGGAGCACGGCACCACGCGGTCCTTCACGGGGAACGGGTACTGCGAGGTGGCCACCGCGATGTCGCGGAAGTTTAGCGAGACGCTGTGCACGCGGACCAGGACCTCGTGCTTCGAGGGCGATGGGATGGGTTCCTGGAAGGCTTTGAGGTTCCGGACGGAGGTCCGCTCGCCGTCGAGGCGGATGACTGTTTGTGACATTGATGCTTTAATTAGGGGTTTTGGGTTTGGGAAGATCAGTTGGAAGGAATTGGTTGAGTGTGGATGAATGTGATGATTTCGGACTCATAGCGCAGGCATCATGGCGGCTTATATACCTTTGGCAGTGTGGTAAGCTGCTATGAAGCGGTAGCTGGGGATGATTAATTGCATGTTACAGTTGTGAGGGAGAGACTCCGTGCAGTGTATACAATTCATCATCATCCACGGATCGGACTCCTACGGTCTGTTATCCGACCCACTTCTCCGAATCTCCAAACTCAATCTCCAAAAGTGGATCATCCACTGCGAGACATCGCTACGTAGTTTACATTTCGGTATAAGCCGGAACGTAGATCATTTTAAAAGTTCTGGAAAGAAGTACTGGCTACTTGCATCAGCTCATTGTCTAGCAAGGGTGTGAGTGATGTTATTCTTATGGAAATTTCTGGCATCTGAACCAGTTCAAGGAAATTGTGTATGAGAGGTACAGTACATTCTGAGCACTAGCACTAGAATCACCCTAACCGGCTATGTCTATACTGATCTAACACATCCCCAATCATCCTAATGAAAGCCCAGGGAGAGTTCCCGTGCATTACATTAGACCAGACCTCCACAACCTGATCTGCAAGAGTATCGAACGCCGTGCGAGAGGCATCGGTTCTACTGCCCTGAATGGATGCCATGCCTTCGGTCACAACATTTCGGATCCAATCGATCAAGAGATTTTCGGGCTCTAGAACAATCCGTTAGCAAAGTGTGACTCAAAGGTACAAGTGCTTTCGAGGAACGTATGCCCTAAAAGAACTGGAAACTTTGCACGTACCAGACAAGGATTCACCATAGCCAGGCGACTGCAGCCCTCGGAGCCATTTGGAGAGGTACACGGCACATTCAAGCCCGCACAGCGCCGTTTCTATGCTCCAGACCAAGGCCTGGTTGTGTTTGACGTACTGAACACCCAGCTTGACTATCATTTCTAGGACATGGGTGGCGTGGTGCGCGGCCAGAAGTTCGTCCCAATGCTGCTTCGCGGGCGAAGACAAGTGCAGGTGATCAGCTACAGCCACTGGATCCCAGGACAAGAGCCCCGTAGAATGGTAGCTGTCATGTTGCAGGCAGTTGCGAATATACGCTAGGCTAAGCAAGGCGCTGGACGTGAAAGGTAGAGGCCCGTTGGGGTCGAGTGGCTGAAGATTCGACTCCGGGGTTCGTTGCCAGAAGGTGGTCCATCTACGTAGTGCCGTTCTAAGTTGTTGTTAGCTGTGAGGATTCTTAGCTTTCAGGGGTTTGATATACCGGAAAAGGACCTGGTAGTCTAGCGAGGGCGCCATGCCCAAGCTCGCGGGCAGCATTCGTACCCACATCACCATCTGAACTAGCCCATGGAGTAGGACGTAGTTGGAAACGGGGCTGGGAAGGCATCTGTCAAGGTAATTATCTTGAGATGCTGACAGTAGACCTCTCAGGGCGTCACGGAAAGTACTACGGTCGTTTTGACTGCCTTGCCGCAGGAAGAGCCATGTGGTTGAATCTGGCGCCGTCCATTCAGGACAAGAGCACGGCAGCTGTAGCCCGAACTCGTGGCCCCAGATGATGGGCGGGAGCCCGTACGCGATGCCTTGGATGTTGAGGAAGCAGAATGCGAGTAGCTTGGTCCGTCTTCCGGACTCCTGCTCTGCCCAGGTCTCCCAATTGTTGGTCGACTGCGACCCAACTTCTTCTAAGCCACTCAAGCGCAGGGAGTGAGCAAGCATGCCGCGCAACCTGAGAGACTCGCTCCTGAGCTCGGCGTCTTCGCTCCAAGTTGCAAGTGTACAGAGACATAGCAAGCATCGAACTTCATCTATGTGGTTATCGCCGCTGCTAATTTGCCGATCCGAGCCTGTCAGCCGTGCCAAAGCTTCATGTTCCCTCCGACGCTGGCATTCCAGAAGTAGCAGCTTTGCAAGGAAAAAGAGCTTGGTGGCTGAGTGAATTTCATACCGACAAGCCGCGCCAATTGCCAGCATAGACAGACATAGTTCGGGTGAGCATGTCTCAAGCTTGAAGGTGGGAATATGGGTGAAAGGCACGTTGAGGTAGAACCCTGTGACATACCCCTCAAGGAAACGGTTGAGCGAATCCCTGGATGGTAGAGACACATCCGGTATATAGCAACTTCCCAGAGCCTGTATTAGCTTGTCTCGTTGAAATTCGGTGATAAATGGATGGGCAAAGTGGGGGACGATCTGCGTTCCTATATACGTTCTGTTAAATGCTACTTCGTCGATGGGAGGATGATTCAAGTTTCAGCCTACCTAAATTGTGCTGCGGTGTTGGGAGAGTGGCAGGAGCTGGTGGTCCCTGACTAGTTATCGGAGTGACTGGGATAGTATTTGAAGCCGGTTGCGTGGTAGCAGCATTGAAAGGCTGACCAGTGCTGTTGAGAAATACTGCATTATCCACAATGTTTTGTTCAATCAGAGGATCTGATCCGACGATCTTAGTACAATACAGATCCAGTATATGCAAAAGGGTCCGCACCATCTGCTCGAAGTAATTGCTCTAATTCCATGAATTGATTGGTGAGAATCGAAGAGTTGCTGCAATTCCCCGTTAGTTGTTGTTTTGATTACCCATCAAAACTTTCAGTATACTCACATAACAGGCCGTCCGGTCAATGCCTGGGAACTAGAGCGCTGCAACGACTCGGGAGTCAAGAGGTCGGCATTGCGCCGGACAACACGAGGACCCCGAGACTCAGAATGGGAGCTGCATGCTGTAGCTCTTTCTCCTGGAAGGGAGCTTGCAAGGGTATTCCCCTTGAACTCTCCATGTACAATACGTTCATGACGTTTCAGAAGATCGCGTCTGGAGAATTCGGCTCCACATGGGCAATTGAACGGTTTCTCATGAGTATCTTCACAACGATGTCAGGGGAACTGTGGCATAGTAAGCGAACAAGAGCACTAACGTCTTCTGGTATGCCGTTGCAAGTGCTCGAGACGGCGAAAGTCTCGGTGACAAT